TAGCTTTTAATCACAGTCCACTTGGGCATGGTCTCTCTGGCTTGAAAAAGCAGTGGTAGCCACATGCTCCCTCTCTTGTTTCAGACTCTGCTTCTGGCTACCAGATGCTTTTCCTGGTTGTGTAGGGGGCTGTTGTCTAGGACGGTGATCCGTACGTTTTTCCCTTTAAATAAATAACCCTTTTATTAATCATAATTCCAAACTGGTATGGGATTGTTTTGTGACTTACTCCTTTAAATGTTGTATAGTTTATAGATTTGTACAACTTGTCATAGTGTGTCCATACTTTTAGATTGTCAAATAGAGTAGTTTCTTGGCCTCCAAAACCTTTAAATCTCCGTATTTCTTCCTGCCTCTCCTGAAATTAGGAAATCACTGTCATTTTTACTGTCACTACAACTATTGCCTTTTCCAAAATGTCATGTAAGAGCCAAAGATTGTGGACTCTTCCGTTTGGTTTACTTCACTCACTGCATGCACTCAAGTTTTTGCAGTGCCTTGTCATGAGTTTATCGCTCTATTTATGTTAAACCTCATTTTCTGCTTCTACCACAATGCATTTGTCCATTGACCAACCTAGGAATCTCAGTTACTTTAAGTTTTGATATTTATGAATGAAGTTTCCAGAAGCACCCATGTCCAAATTTTTCTGTGGATCCATTTTCTGTCCCTTTGCATGAATACTATGGAGCATGATTGCTGGATAACATAGTAAGAGTAAAATCAATGTTGGAAAACTACCCAACTGTTTTACAAAGTGGCTGCAGCAGCTGTAATCCCCATGATCCAAGAATCAGAGTTCCTGGTGCTCTACACCCTCCTCAACATTTGATGATATTGGTGTTCTGCAAGTTGAACATGCTAATGGTCAAGATGTGGTGTCTCAATATTATTTGAATTAGCATTTCTTGAAATATATGCAATTTGTTTTTAACCATTTTTCACACTCTTATTGATCATCCATGTGTCTTGTTTGCTAATCTGTCTTTGAGTGTTTTATGTGCCAGGTTTTTTGTTGTTGCTGAGTTTTTTAAATCCCATATATTGTACACAGCCATCCTTTCTGCAATATGTCCTTTAGACAAATTTCCCCAATCTATAGTTTGACTTTTTATTTTCTTCATAGAATATTTTGCAGAATATAGATTTGAATTATCAACATTATCTGTTCTTGTTCCATGGACATTGTTGTAGTAACTTCAATTTTATCCTCTTTAAAAATCAAAAAATTGCTAAGCAGTGGTGGTTCATGCCTTTAATCGCAGCACTCTAGAGGCAGAGGCAGGCGGATCTCTGTGAGTTCAAGGCCAGCCTTGTCTACAAGAGCTAGTTCCAGGACAGGCCCCCAAATTACAGAGAAACCTTGTCTCAAAAAAACAAAGTAAAAATAAATTAAAAATTAAAATTATTCTGTTTGTATTCTACATGAAATATATATGAATAAAGTACCTGAAATGTTTGAAATTTTATTGGTTTATAAATTGATTGGGGGTGAAGTAGCTTTTCACCTGCTGAATCCTTTAGTTAGTGACCGCTTTGTGAGTACTATTCAATCTGCTTAGATGTAAAATGCTGGTACCTTTCTGTGTGATAGAGGAACGCATGATTTTTTTTAGGTATTTTACATTTTGAAACTATTTTAAAGCTAGTTAAACATTTTTTTGTTTTCTATTTTTTTTCTTACTTTTTGAAAACCCAGAAGTTTAAATAGTGATTTATAAGTTTCCAACTTTATCCATACAAAATTGTTTAGAATATTAACTTTGCAGTTTTTTTGAGTCATTGATTATGTAGGCTTGATTGTCCTGGAACTCACTATGGAGATCAGAATGGCCTCAAACTTACGGAGATCCCCCTGCCTCTGGCTCTGTCTTTCAAGTGCTGAGATTAAAGGTGTGCACCACCTCTGCTGCTTTCATTTTCGAAGAGGGCTTAAGGATTGCAAGGTGCTGTCTTATCTTTTTCTTGATTCATTTAAGAATTCTAAAGGCTGGATTTCATGCATTTTATATGTATTTTTGAATCCTTTACAAAACTATTATTTTCGGAGACATAGCACTCAGCCAGTGTTTATTTTCCATCCTTTTTTCTTTCCTCCTGCAAATTTACAATACATTCCAGAGGGTTTCCCTCTTGCTTTTGTAGTTCCTCTAACATATTCCTTCAGTGTTTATGTAGACTTCGTTAATTTTCTTTGTCTGAAAACCTTTTGGAAGGTTCTGTTTGCTGGTGATAAAATTCTAGCATCCTAATAATTTTCCTTGGAGATGTTAAAAATATGATTTATTTGTTGTTGGAATCACGTTCAGAAGTGTTCACTCCATTTTACTGATGTTTCTTTAAAATTATGCATCTTTTTTATGGTTGCTGAAAGTTTTTTTTTGCTTTTATGTTTGATTTTGATGCTGCACAATTTTCCTATGATCCCCTAAGATGTGCTTCGACTTTCCCATTGTCCCTGGATTTTGTAAAACATCTTGAATTGTTGTTCATCAATTTTTGAACTGGAAACCTTTGCACGCACACAGTGTGTGTATACAAGTCAGAGGATAACTTTCACAAGGCAGTTCTCTCCTTCCACCTTGTGGGTTCCAGAGACCAAACTCAGATGGTCAGGCTTGGTAGCAAGCACATTTCCTCCACTGTACTAACTCTATGTCACTGCTCATTAATTTAACTTAATTAATTAAAGTTGATTTGTTGTAATATTATCCTTTCAATTTAAGATCTGTGCCTTCTAAGTCATATGTGCTATGTCTTTCATCACCCCATGGTGGGGGCTTGCATTGAATCTTTCTCCTGAAGACTGGATGGCTATGTGAAAACTTAACCTAGGATTAAGGTGCTATTATTTCCCCCTGGAGAAATTCTTAAATTTGCTTGGTAGAGCCCTGGCTAATCAACTTAAAAAGCGAAATGATGATGTGTGTGGTTGAAAAGCTCAAACTAGTGACAACACGCTATGTCAAGGCCAGGGACAGTGGGTAAGTTTTTACCAATCATTTTACCAAAATTAAGAGCAAAACCGTGGACATAATACAGCTCTCAAGATCTTGTAGGAGAGAAGGATGGTGCAAACAGAAGGTTGTTTTCAGGCCTGATAAGCAACAAACGCTACCTTCCTTCCAGGTGAGAAATTGTATTCTCCACATCTTCTTAACGAGGAGAGCCCCAAACTCTAATTATTACATAGCAAGAAAAACCTCATTCTGCCATCTTGAACTCTCAGAGATCCTCCTGCCTCTGCATCCAGGTTATTAGTTTTTAACTATGCATTTCTCCCCTGACTAAGTGTCCCAGGAGGTGGAACTGGCCTTCAGCTGGAATCTCCATTCTACCAATGTTTGCTGATTTACTCTGTCTCTATGACAACCAACCCATTGTTTTCTCAGGCTCAGCCAATGTCTTTGGAAGCAACACAGACTATAGGACTCACCTTCTCATCCCCAAGGAATTTATTCTCCAAAACCTAAGCCCTCTCAGTTCGAATCATACAATGTGTTCTCTGTGGATGGACAGTAATGGTTTCTGACCTTTAACCTGGTTTTGTGATTGTTTGATATCACCACATCATACATGTAGCCTTCGAGTGACAGGGCACAGAGAAGACAAATAGGAGCACTTCCATATTCAGTCTGTATAAAGACATCACTTATACTCCATGTTGTGGAAAGGGGTCTGTTCTCAGGTATTATGAACAGCTCAGTCTGGATGCATGGTCAGCTGTTCACTATGAGTTACTGTGCCATCCCTGTCTAGATGCCTCTGGAGGGATATAAGGTAAATTCCAGCAAATCAAAATAGACTCAGCAAAAGAAGCATGTGACCCTGCCATCCACAAGATGAGCAAAACATTAAGGTCAGGCAATAGTGAGAAAAGCAAAGACATTACAACCCTAAAAAAGTGACTGACCACCTGCCGAGAGGGATAAGACTAAATTCAGAGTCTCTGGCTGCCTCACCCTCACCTTCCCCTCCTGTACAATCTGCAGCATAGCAGAGAGACGTAAGGCAGGTGTTAGGGCGTTGACTTGCTGCCTTCTCAGACTGCCAGCTCTCCAAACAAAGCACAACTTAAAGATTCCAACACTGTGCAGTAAGGCAGCATAGGTTCCAGTACTCTGGCTACACTTTGAGACCGGGTCTCATAACATAGCACTGGCTGGCCGGGAACTCACTTTTGAAGACTAGACTAGCCTAAAACTTAAAGAGATCTTGCCAAGTTTTATTTCCTGAGTGTTGGGATTAATATAGATAGGCAGAATCACACAATGTGCTTACTACTGAACATAACATAAACAGTCATAATTCAATAAATAAATACACTGCTGTTCAAGAGCAAAACAATACTTACTTTCTAGGAACTCAGCTTGATTTGATTGAAAATTTAAGTTAAAAACAGCTGAAATCATATTACATATCAAAGAAAAGTAAATCCCAAAATTCTACTGTTGATATAAAATCTATAACTACCAAATGACATAAAGCAAAAATGTGAAGTCACAACAACAAGAACTAGACAAGACTGTCAGAGTCCAGAAGCAGTTTCTTCTATTGGAAGGTAGGACAGGCTGCAGGAAAAGCCAAGACATAGAATCAGCTTCTCCCAAAGGGTGGGTAGGAAAGCAGAAATTTGATCCCTCATCACTCTGAACACTTTGGAGGAGGTGAGGAAATAGGTCAGATTTGGATATTGCTTTTTAAAAAGGTTAGGCTTAGAAACGGATTAGCAATTTTACTTCATGAAGGGAATAACAAATTATGAGACATTTCCTCTTTAATTTTCACTAAATTGCAATTAGTGTAAAATTTTAATCTCGTGATATTTGAAATACTTGCAGGCACATAAATAAAACAAGCACTAACATTTATGTTGCTCACAAGGGTCACAACGGAACGTACTAAAGTTCTAATGAAGGGCATCTTCACATGAACTTGGCAGAGAAAAGTAGGCTAAGGCCAAATAAAAACTAAGCATTCTAATCTTGAAAAGATAAAGTTATATGGAAAAAGCAGTGACACAATTATACACAAGTTCAAATTTTCTTATTAGCATTAAGGAGGAAAATAATTTGATGTTATGCTACTAGAGTTATTTGTAGTTATGAGAATATTAGTCACCAAAGGCATATAAAAATGAGGAAAATACATAATACACATATTTTATAATGACAGTCTAACCGTGTAAAATACCTACAGGAAAAGATGGAGCAGTTGGACATATGCACACATGCAGTAGTTTGAAAAAAAGGTACACTTTCACTTATCTCTATAAAATCTGCATGTTAATTCTGAAGATACAGGGGACCACTTTGAATATTTAACTGAAAACAAAGCTATCCCTGCAGTGGGCACTTTCCTTAATTTCTATCCCAGGATCCTGAAGCAAAAAATTAGGGATCATGGGTTTTAGGAACTTGAACTCACCAGTCCCAGAGTCTCCCCTCAGACACACTTCATACTGATAGCTCTGGGACAGGGTCCCATCACCACTGACATCCACCAGGTGACCAGGAAAGTGTCCTTCAGACAACGAGCAGCCACCCACGGAGGTCGCCCTGGCCCTCCTGCACAGCCTCACACCAACAAACAGCAGCACAGACAAGAGGAAGACCGAAGACACAGACGCCAAGGCAATGACCAGGTACATTGTTAGCTTTTCTTCTTCCTGTGTGGGGTCGCGCGCCACCTCTGGCAGAGGCAGGTAGGGCTGAGAGAAGCCATCCACCAGCATCATATGCAGAGTGACACTGGCAGACCGCGGAGGATCGCCATTGTCCTTTACCAGCAGCAGCAGCCTGTGCTTGGGCGCATCGCGCTCACTCAGCAGCCTGGAGGTGCGCACCTCGCCATTGTGAGCCCACACGCTGAACAGTCCGGGCTCCGTGGCCTTGAGCAGCTGGAACGACAGCCAGGCATTCTGGCCAGAGTCGCGGTCCACAGCCACCACCTTGGTTACCAGGTAGCCAGGCTCCGCCGCCCTTGGCAACAGCTCTGTGTAGGGCGCAGAGGCGTTCTGCAGAGGGTAGAGCACGAAGGGCGCATTGTCATTGGCGTCCAGCACCTGCATGCGCACTAGAACCTGGCTGCTAAGCGCAGGCGAGCCTTGGTCTGTGGCGCCCACGAGGAACTCGAAGGTCTGCAAGGCTTCGTAGTCCAGCGCCCTGAGCGCGAACAGCTGCCCATTGTTGGCATTGATGGAGATGAGCGAGGAGAGGTCCAGCTGCGGGTCGTGGGTGGGCAGCAACGAGTAGGTGATGTGGGCATTGGAGCCCGAGTCTGAGTCTGTGGCGCTGATGGTGCCTATGTGCAGCGCGGGGCTGTTGTTCTCAGGCACAAACAGGGTGTAGGAGTCTTGAGTGAAGGCAGGGACGTTGTCGTTGACGTCAGAGACCTGCACTGTTATGGTGTGCTGGGTTGTGAGCCTGGGTGTGCCCATATCGCTGACTGTGATGGTGATGTTGTACTCAGATCTGCTCTCTCTGTCCAGAGGACTCTCTGTCACCAGGGTGTAGAAATTCTTGAAAGTGGATTTGAGGATGAACGGCAGGGTTTCTGGAATAGAACAAACCACCTTTCCATTCTCTCCAGAATCCCTGTCTCCAACTCTGAAGATGCTGATTATGGTCTCGGGAGCATTTTCTGGGACTGAGCTGGTCAGTGAAGATATGGTCAGCTCTGGGGCGTTGTCGTTCACATCCACCACCTCTATCAGCACAGCGCCCTTCCCAGAGAGGCCTCCTCCATCCGTGGCCTCGATTTCCACATGGTAAGACTTAATTTTTTCAAAGTCCAATCCCTTTTTCAGTCGTATTTCTCCCGTGATTTCGTTTATTGAGAAAGTCTGTTGAACTTCATCTGACGCTTGGAACAAGCCATAGGAAACTCTCCCAAAGTTGCCAGCATCTGCATCCTGTGCTAGGACAGTCAGGACCGCGGAGTCTGGGGGGCTGCTCTCCAGGACCTGCACCTCATAGGGGGTCTTCACAAATTCAGGGGCATTGTCATTGATGTCCAGGATCAGGATTCGAACCATGGCTGTTCCTGACCTAGGTGGAGAGCCCCCATCCAGAGCCGTGAGGGTCAAGCTCAGCTCTGCCTGCTCCTCTCTGTCCAGGGCTCTGTCCTGCACCAATTCTGGGTATTTCTTGCCTTCACTATTATTTCGAGTGAGGACATGAAAATGAGAGTTGGGGTTGACTGTGTACTGTTGAAGCCCATTGCTGCCCACATCCAAGTCCTGAGCTAGTTTTAATGAAAACCGTGAGCCTGGCTGACTGTTTTCTGGTATTTTCAAAAGCAATTCCCTATCTGGGAACTCTGGTGAGTGGTCATTTATGTCCTGGATCAGTAATTCTCCTTGATAATACTGCATTGGCTTTTCAAGAGACACCTGGAAATGCAGGACACAGGGGTCCACAGAGGCACAGAGCGCTTCCCGGTCTAGCTTCTCCCTCAGAAGCAGATCTCCAGTCTCGGGATCCAGCAGTAATCGCTGCTTGTAATCATCTGACACCACCCGTGCAGACCGGGCTCTCAGGTCCCCAGATCTCAGACCCAGGTCCTTGGCCAGATGGGCAACAAAGGAGCCACTTTCTGTTTCCTCCATGACAGAGTACCGAATTGTAGGCTCACTCCAAACCTGAACCAAAACCAGCATAAAAATAAAAGCCAAGACTTGCCTGTTTGGTTGAATTCTCTCCATCTTCTCCATGCTGGGAAAGCGATTGTTTGCATCCAATCCTTTAGCAGTCTCCTAGTGCTTTTAAACGCTGGCTTCTGGTTTCTTTTTAGGAGGGATCTTCACAACGTTGCTGTTAATCTTACATTAATCCAGTATATCCTTGTCCAAGCCCCTTCATAGCTCCGTAGTGCAGGCAAAGCTCTTGCCCGCGTCTTTTGTTCTGTTTTCTCACAAGCGATTCCTGGTATTTTAGTGATTTTAGTTACAAGCTTAGCCTGCAGCGCCACCCTGTGTCTTCTGGAGGAAACTGAAACCGTTCTAGTTGTAAGTCACATCACTTGTTTTACTCTCCAAATTAATGCCACGTTGAAAGTGTTTATGTTTTCTTTCCTTTGCCAACATTGTTTTTTCCTTAATCCGCATAGTCTGTAAGGCTGTGCACCACTGTGCAGGAGAGGAACGGAACGATGAGCACCAGCCGGAAGACAGCCAGTCTTCGAACACACGTGTTTAAGTTTGGAATGATCAGGTAAGCAAAACACAGATTCATATTTCTAAAAGTACTTTCTTACAGTGATGAAAAGGAAGAGTTACATGGTTAATTCCATCAGTCTATGTGTGATTAGTATAAATTCTTATAGAGGGAATTCACTCTTGACATGCTCCAATGCACAGGTACAGGCGCATAGATCTAATTCATCAGCTGACCACCCGAGAGCAATAACGCTGAGCGCACACCAGAATCTGACCTTGTCTAACCTTCCGGTTCTAAAGTATTTGAAGCAGTTTGGTGCTCTAAGTTTTGATGCAATCTAAAACTAAAAAAAAATATTTTCTGTATTCAAATAGAAAATAGTATTTATGCATTTAAGAGATAAAATCATCCAAAGATTTGATTTCTAACTTATAATATTTCCTTAAATTTGTTCTTCCTTCAATATTTATTGGCTGTAACAGGACTCCTTGCACTTTTATGTGAAAAATTTAGAGACACTTAGCAACTTGTGAGAAAAAAGAAACTGGCATTTGGGTAAGAATTCCATTAAGTTATATTCTAGTTTGAGGGTAATCTTTACAACACGGAGTCTTCAATCCATGTGCCCTTCCTCCTCACAGAGGCCTTCTGTGCTTTACTGCAGTGTCGTCTGCCCTTCTGTATGAAGTTCATCTACACCACTGTCTGCTTCCTCTCTAAGATTCTTCTTCCTTTTGAGTCCAAGAAACTTTTCTTCGTTCCTGGTTTGTCCGATGCTAATATGCAGAAATAGTTTATTTTAAGGCAATGATCTTGCCTTTTACACACTTGCTGAATTTTTTATCAGTGTTTGCATTTTTGTAGATTATTTATGATGTGAGGTTACTCCATCTATAGCTATATAGATGTCTTATTTTCCAGTTATTAATTTTCTAAAATGTTTTGTGCATTGAGAAAATTGTGTCCTTTTGCCCACAAGGCCTATTTCAATGTTATTGCTGTGTTGAGTCAGTACGTTACTGGGCCAATTCTTTGCAACTACAGGGTACAATCTCATTCGGTGTTGGTGTTACTTTGCCAGTATTTTGTTGAGGCTTTTCAAATCAATGCTGGAAAGACGCATGGGTACCTAACTTTCTCTCCCGTTTTTATATTAGCCTAGTTTTGTCACAGTTGCCTCCCATAAATGAGTTTTTTAGTAGTTGCTGATCTGATCTTCATTTTTTTCCAACAGTAATATTCGATATATGGTTTTATGAGAAGGGACCCGTATTTGAAGTATCAAGTTCATGTCATGTTTTCATGAGAACATAAATACAGCAACTGCTCATTCAGAACAGGAATTTTGGGTGGTAGCTTACTGCTGCAGAGCATAATCAAATTTGCACATTTATTGCCTAGATTGCTGCTGTGAGTTTGCCGTGTGTGTGTGTGGTGTTGTTTTGTCCTGTTTTGCATTGCTTTGTTTAGTTTCATTCCGAGACAGGATTTCTCTGTGTAGCACTGGCTTCCTGGAACTCATTACGTAGACTAGGAAAGCATCTAGCTCACAAATATCCACGTGCATCTGCCTCCTCAGCATTGAGATGAAAGGTCATCCCACCCGACTCTCCATGTGACTTTCACTCATCGATTAAGTTAGAAAAATATTTTCACAGGATCTCATTCTAGCACCTTAAAGGACACAATAACATCTAGGAGGAAGGTGACATTTTCTGAGGCCATTGCTTCTTAGAGAAAACACAGAATTGTAAGCCCCGAGGCAGGTTGGGTCTCACTCACACACAAGTACAAGAATGAAACAGCACTTCTACCCGTGTGTGACAAAGTTGAGCCAACCCCTTTATTTAAAACTTGGGTCCCTTGAAATCTGAGTGCAAATGACTATGAGACTCCAGTCTCTATTTTAAAGAGCATTAGTGTGGTCAGTGTGAAGCCAGGACAGCGTGAAGGAACTTCCAAAAGAAGGCAAGAAGCCGATAAAACATTATCACTGAGGATGACTAAGGCCATGGAAAGTCGACTAGACAGCTTCAGTGTTTGTTCTCTCCCCTAGGACAAAGAGAGCCATAACCACATGGAAAGGCTGCAGATGAAAGAGATTTGATTTGTCCAAATCAAAAGCAGGAGATGACCACTGGGAGGTAAGTGCTGGTTGATATAAAATACGCCAAGTGGAATTGTTGTAAAGGGGGAGGAGAGCTATAGAAACTGCCGTGTATTACATGACTCTTGAGTCTGGAATAGCAAATGTCAGAATGTGATGAATAAATGAAGTCATCTAAAATAAAATGAGACTTATCACTTTTCTAATAAAACTGGGGGAAAGCAAGTGTGGAAGGAAAAGGGATTTACATATAATAACTGAGAAGCTGGTGACACCGCACATATAATCAATAGTATTGTGTGACGGAAGAGCAGTAGAACATGGTTTCATTCTTAAGGATATCATTAACCAAACTATTATCGTTTTGCATTAAAATTGGACAGTGGGTTTTCAAGAAAGTGTCTAATTCCTGATTTGTTGTCTTTAAATAAAAATGAGGGATAGTATATACCCATGAAATTATGTTTTGAAAATGAGTAACTGAATCTCAATCTTGAAATTTTCATTCAATTTTGGTGCTTTCAATAGTAACCAGAGGGCAATAGAAGCTCGGATTATAGATTCAGGAATCTGAAAAGAGTTTTCTGAGAGTTAATTGGATAGGCAGAAAAATCTTGTATTGAATCTCTCCCCATCGCTGAAATTAAAGACATTAATAAGCTCAATTTGGAATTAAATTAAAGATTAATGCATTATTTTACAGTTCTCTGAGTTTTGGGGGAAACCAGCTCCATAGAGATTGGTGTTATTCTGACAAAATTAAATTGTTGTCCCCTTTTCTGAATATGAATTGTTCTTTTTTTTTGAGACAGGGTTTCTCTGTGTAACAGTCCTAGCTGTCCTGGAACTAGTTCTTGTAAACCAGGCCTGCCTTGAACTCACAGAGATTCTCCTGACTCTGCCTCCCAAGTGCTGGGATTAAAAAGGCATGTGCCACCACCGCCCAGTGAATTGTTCTTTTGATTTGATGTGTAGATAAGTTTAAGATAAATCTTTAAGTCCTCAGAAAATTCATTGATTTTCTAATGGTTTCAAGTTTATTATCCAGCGACAGCAAACTGAGCACTAGTTTTGAATGAGACATTGTGTGATGTACTAAAAGCTCAACTCAAAGTAAACCCAAAAGAGCTCTTTGAGACTATTTGTTGTCTACTGAAGTTATTTAGCAGTAAGAGAACTCAATTTTTGTTTAATTTTGTTTCCTCTTCAAACACTGAAATATCAATAATACCAACTTGTCCATAAATGATAGTAACCTTAATACTGGAGAATTGATAAACAAAGTCATCTCTTTTGCTGATATCAGATTTGCAGTTTGAAAAATGCCCCCAAAGTGCAACAACAGTTAGCAGAGTTGGAAGCAAGCCTAGGCTACACAGAGAAATGAGTAAGAACCTATCTCAAAATATAGGTGATAGCTGTAGTTTGGGAAAACAATTCAAATAAATGGCTAAATGATTTTTAAGTGCCCAGAAATAAAAATAACTTTGAACCAAGACTTACTGTTTTATGACTTCAAATTCAGCCCAGGTTATCTTATCAGCTTGGGAAATTTTCTACATATAAATATAGTCCATCCACAGATTAAATTATTAATTTAATAGGATCTAGGGCTTGGGCTGCAGATCAGTGATTGAAGGCACACCTTGTACACCATGGGCCCCAGGCTTTGGACACACACAAACACAGGCACACTCAGACAAACACACACTCACACACATGGGCATCCCTACTGATAGTATCTTCTTTGTCTTCAGGCTGTAGATAGATTATCAGCATAGAGCCCTTCCCACACTAGTGTGATATATACACTCTATATAATACTAATACCTCTCAAAAATAATTGTCACATGAATTGCATAATTTTCAAGAAATTGAAGATATGTATGAAAGAATAAAAATCCGACAAAAATTTTCATACAAAATATTTAGGCTTGACAAAAAGATGTTTTCCCAGTTATTCAGAATTTATACCACAATGCTTTTTATATAAATTTTTTATGCTAGAGAGCTTCCTCCTTGGAAAGTGATTCCCCAACTCTTGCAAGCATTGAAGAGTGGTTATGATTATACAACTGCACTTATTAGTGATTAAGAATATGTCAGTATTTTTCCCATAACTCTTAAATCACCCATTTTGCTTTCATGTACTTTTTGTCTTTTAGAGAGTGACCATTTAGCTTAAATGATCTGCAGCTCCATGTCTATCAAAATGACATTTTCATTCTCGATGCCTGAATAAAGTGACTCCATCAGGCATATGTGTGTCCATTCTTGACTCTCCAGAGTTACCAAAACAATTTTCAAGTTTTTATAAGTTCTATTATTTTTCTTGTAGACAAGACACTTGAATGTTAGATAGATATATCTGGATGGTAATACAGTAAAAATAATTTTTAAATAAATTTGACCAAGAAAAATGGTTGGTTATGTGAAAGTTTATAATTTTTTTAACTCAAAATAGCCATATTCTGGGTTTTGGTTGCTTCCACATGTTCTTTTTAGTTTTAGAAAAACTAAAATTCCCCAGTGATGTGTTTTTTCCTATTATAAATTCCTATATTTGTATATTCTTCAGTTAAAATGTTGTAGGAAGGATACTGGTGTGGATTGGAAGATTTCATTCCCAACAATCCTACATCATGACAGATGGAAATAGAAAGGAAGAACTCATTGATAGGACGCAATGATAATAGTTCCCCCGAGTCACCTTATTTATGGCAAGTAAGTATTAATGATAAAAAGACTAAAAACACTTAAAATCCATTCATCTGCATAGTTTGTGGAAAGTTTAATGGGCACTCATGTTTATACAGCTTTTATAAATCAGCTTATCATCCAAACACAAGGCTCACTAAATCTCTTCTCATGCAAGGTGAAAGAACATTCAGTCACTAGCAATGGCTTAGGTCAAGCAACGTTATTTCTGGTACACTTTAGAAGCCATTTTGGCCATATTTAAGCAAACAGTGTCTTGAAATAGTAACTGTGATTGTCAGTAAAGATGACAAATTGAACAACATACTCATTTCATTTATGTACAAAACATGGAAAACTGTGACAGATGACTGTATCTCATGCTCACCCTTCATTAGCTGTGCACAACGCTGTGTGCAGAAGTGTGGGTGAGGGAAACACATACATGCACGATTGCGTTATTTTATTCAGGAATCAAGAACAAAAATGTCATTGGGGGGGACATGGAGCGACAGATCTTTTAAGCTAAGTGGTCACCCTCTAAAAGACAAGAAGTAGGTGGAACCAAAATGGGGCACTTAAGGTTGTCATGGGGAGGAAATCAGAGGATTAAGGACTGTGATGAGTGAACGGTATCAAGGTGTGGTGTGTGTACCTCTGAAAGTGTCACAATGGGTGCTGAACACTGAAAACTTACCAAGCTGGAGAGAAGTGAAAGTCAAAATGAATGATACACAGCAAGTTATATGCATAGCCTCAACAAGACACCATTTGAAGTGGGTGTTGCAGAAATCCATGCTGGTTATAATGAAGAGGAAGAAATGAGTTCCTAAGAAAACTATTTGAAATGACGAGAGAAACGCAACAGAGTTATATACCCCCCTCCCAAATTAGTGAAGGAAAAAGTGCATTAAGGCTCACAAAAGAAAAAAAACATTCCGTTTAAAAAAGGGATAAAATCAACGTAGAAACATATTGTCTCAAAGATTACTGAACGCAAAGGAAAATATCAACAACCAAGCAACAAATTCGGATTGGTTTATAGAACCCTAGGTCTCTCGGATACTGAACGTGAGCTAAGGGTTCTGAAACAGACCATTGGGAATAATGGGGTTGAAGAATTTGAAATCTGTGGTCCCCGAGTCTCCAGCCAGACATACCTCATATTGATAATCCTGGGACAGGGTTCCCATGCCGCTGACATCAACCAGGTGTCCAGGAAAGTGTCCTTCAGGCACAGAGCAGCCACTCAGCGAGGATGCCCTGGCCCTCCTGCACAGCCTCACCCCCACAAACAGCAGCACAGACAAGAGAAAGAGCGAAGACACAGATGCCAAGGCAATAACCAAATAGAGTGTGAGCAAGTCATTATCCTGCGCGGGGTCGCGCGCCACCTCTGGCAGAGGCAGGAAGGGCTGAGAGAAGCCATCCACCACAAGCACCTGCAGAGTGACACTGGCAGACCGCGGGGGATCGCCATTGTCCTTGACCTGCAGCAGCAGCCTGTGCTTGGGCGCATCGCGCTCACTCAGTAGCCTGGAGGTGCGCACCTCGCCATTGTGAGCCCACACGCTGAACAGTCCAGGCTCCGTGGCCTTGAGTAGCTGGAACGACAGCCAGGCGTTTTGGCCGGAGTCGCGATCCACCGCCACCACCTTGGTGACCAGGTAGCCTGACTCTGCTGCTCTGGGCAGCAGCTCTGTGTAGGGCGCAGAGGCGTTCTGCAGCGGGTAGAGCACGAAGGGCGCATTGTCGTTGGCGTCCAGCACCAGCACGCGCACCAGCGCCTCGCTGCTTAGCGTGGGCGAGCCTTGGTCTGTGGCGCCCACGCGGAACTCGAAGGTTTGCAGAGCCTCATAGTCCAGCGCCCTGAGCGCGAACAGCTGCCCGTTGTCGGCATTGATGGAGATGAGCGAGGAGAGGTCCAGCTGCGGGTCGTGCGTGGGCAGCAGCGAGTAGGTGATGTGGGCATTGGAGCCCGAGTCTGAGTCTGTGGCTCTGATGGTGCCTATGTGCAGGGCAGGACTGTTGTTCTCGTGGACAAACAGGGTGTAGGAGCTTTGTGTGAAGGCGGGGGCGTTGTCGTTGACGTCAGACACCTGCACTGTTATGGTGTGCTGGGTTGTGAGCCTGGGTGTGCCCATGTCGCTGACTGTGATGGTGATGTTGTACTCAGATTTGCTCTCTCTGTCCAGTGGCCCCTCTGTCACTAAAGTGTAATAGTTCTTGAAAGTGGGTTTTAAGAGAAATGGGAGATCGTTCGGAATAGAACACACCATTCTTCCATTGTCCCCAGAATCTGGGTCAGAAACAAGGAAAACAGCCACTACAACCTCAGGAGCGTTTTCTGGGATGGAACTAGTGAGCGAAGATATGGTGAGTTTAGGGACGTTGTCATTCACATCCAGCACCAGTATAGCTACACTGCATTTTCCTGAAAGACCTCCACTGTCTGCCGCTACAATTTCCATGGTATAATACTGAGTTTCCTCAAAATCCAATACCCTTTTAAGACGAATTTCTCCTGTAACTTGGTCTATTACAAATGGTTGAGAAACTTCACCACCTTGAAACAGAGAGTAGGCTACTTTCCCATGTATTCCAGCATCTAAATCCCTGGCAGAGACCGTCAATACTAAGGCATCAAGGGGGCTGTTCTCAGGGATCTGAACTTCATAGAGCGACTGTACAAACTGGGGAGCATTATCATTAATGTCCAAGACCTCAACGCGAACTGTGGTGGTCCCAGACCTGGGAGGAGACCCTCCATCCACAGCAGTGAGGGTTAAAGTGAGCTCAGGCTGCTCCTCCCTGTCCAGGGCTCTCTCCAGCACCAGCTCTGGGTATTTCCTGCCATCAGCACCACTGGGAGTAAGGACATGGAAGTGGAGGTTGGGGCTGACTGTGTAGTTCTGAACAGCATTGCTGCCTATGTCAGGGTCCTGAGCCGCCTTCAGAAGAAACACAGTCCCTGGCTGGGCACTTTCTTGAATTTTTAGGAGCATTTCCCTTTGGGGGAACTCTGGAGAATGGTCATTTATGTCTGTGAGCTGCAGGTCAGTTTGGAAGAACTGCACAGGGTTTTCCAGTATGAGCTGGAAGTGCAGCACACAGGGTTCTGTCGCCCCACACAGCTCCTCGCGGTCTGCCTTTTCCTTCAGAAACAAATTCCCGGTCTCTGAATCCAGCTGTAAGAGCTCTTTGTATCCACTGTGATAGATTTTCACCCCTCTGGTGGCCAGTTCCTCCACCCTGAGCCCCAGATCTTTTGCCAGATTAGCCACTAAGTATCCAGTCTCTGTTTCTTCTGGCATGGAATATCTAATTGTCTTACAGTCAGCCTCCCACAAAAGCAACAATATAGTAAGAAAAACGACTTGCCTTTTCTCTGATGTTTTTGCTAGATCTGTCTCCATTGTTCAGATGTGGTCCAGATGGTGCTCCTGCTTCTTAATCTTGTCTCAATCCACACAGTTAACGTTTGGTGAAATAACCGCCAATTAAATCTTACTGAATTGCTTCCAGGAGTCTTTCCCCCAAGACCTTAAGTAAATGTCCCCTTCTTTCCTGGAACACTCAGCATTCTGATTCTGGGGAATGGCGTCCTGGGCATTCTCGGAGCCCTTGTGGAACAAATTCTTAGTCTGCAGCGCCACCTTGCGTACTATTCTAGTATTGCAAATACTGTGGTCCACTTGTTCTCAGTTTCAGCACTGTTTAAACACCCTTTCAGATACAGAATTATCCCCCATTGCATGCTCTGATCTTAGCAACCAGAAATTTTAACACATGTGTTAATTTTCAGTGAACATATTTTTTTAAATGAACAAAGTGGCATATTGATCAAAAGACGTTTTAATACAGAGGTTCAATCTAAAGGATTATCTATGAAATATTTGAATATTCCCAAATTACTCTTCATTGAAATGTTACATACATACAAAAACTGGCACTGAACTTAGGTCTACGGAACAGCAAAGAGTCACGAAGTTAATATAGAGGAATAAATAGCTCCTACCTGAATAAATAATGTCCCCGCTTCTACTCTCGTTCTCGGCACTGCACTGACTTTTATTGCCATAGGATATTTTTCCTTTCTTAGAACTTTTATAAAGCAGTGCCAGTAGAGTACCTCTCTGTCGTGGGATCGCTCCCCGCTGTCATTCTCCTTGGGTAGCGGATCTGTGGTATGCTCTTTTCATTGTTTATGACATTCCTCCAGGTTTGTGTTATTAGTTGCATATACTCCAGTTAAGGATCATTGTGGGTTTCAGGTTTGAGTTTTATTTGCTGTTTGTTTTGTTTTTAGACAAGACCTCTCTACATAGCCCTGGGTGTCCTGGAACTCATTATGTAGATTAGGCCAAACTTGAACTCCCAGAACTGCCTGCCTTTACCTTCCGAGTTCTGTGATTAAACGCGTGTGCCACCACTTTGAATTTTGAATGTTACTCCCATGAACAATCCTTCAAACATTCCAGGTATAAAATATGCATATCATATGTATCAGAGCTGTTTATTGTCCATCATAGTGTAGAAATACATTTATCCTTGGCACACACTGTGAAGTAGTTTTCAGAATTAGCTGTGCTGAGCTGCCCCTGGTGACTCAACCCTGTAGTCCCATCTCTGGGCAGACACACATGGGATATCTCTCAAGTTCAGGGCCAGTGTGGGATATATAGTGTGTCACTCTCTCAGCAGTCTTTCTTTAAAACCTAGGAATAGAGATGCAGCTCAATAATAGAATGTTTGCTTGGGTTTCATTCCCAGCAATGTGAAAAAGTAATTCCAGCAACGCATGGGGATTCCAGCTGCTCCATAATCTTGTCAACATTTGATGCTGTCGTTCCTGTTTTAACCACTCTAGTAGGGATGCCATAGTGTACATTTAATTAGCATTTCCCTGGGGTTTAATGAAATGATGCAAACTTTCACATGCTTATTGACCATTCAGATGCATTCTCATGGTGAGGACTTTTATAGATTTTTCTGTCTGAGGCATTGGTCTGATGGCTTCTTGGTCTGCAGAAGAATCTTTATTTTTAGTATAATCCCATTTTTGCTTATGTATATTGTAAATATTTTTTCACTATGCTTTCTTTTTTAACCTTCTTATGGTGTCTTTGAGAAACAAAAGTTAGTATCTTTAACTTAGTCTGATCTGCCAACATTTTCCATTTCTGAGTAACACCTTTCTCCTATTTAAATCCTTCCATCCTCAAGGTCATAGCAAATCTTGTGAACTTGGAGTGACTTTCACTTTTCACATTTAAATGTATGATCACCACAAACTCAAGTGCATAATATTAGGGTCCTTATTTTCTCAAATTTTTTGCATTCTGTACTGAAAAGATGATCCATTGCCCATTGTTTCTGAGTTGTCACAATGTCCTAAGTCATGTGATCATGAATCAGCTCAAAGATTCCATTTGCCTTGAATATCAAAGAGTAATGCTATGCTTTCTTATTTCTCATAGCTCTATAATAGGTTTTTATTATCTTCAGAGTAAGTTTTCCTCTGAAATGATGAGTTTTAAGGAATTTTAAATTCACAGAAAAAATAATTAAAGACACAGAGAATCTCCACAGCTGGGCACACCCTTCCTCCTATCATTCCCTCCAGAATGGTACATTTCTTATAACTGATTGAGCTTCAATATTAGCACAGTTTTTCCTGAGTCCAGCACTTTAATTGGGATTCCCTCTGTGTACTCTGCACTATGTAGATTTGGATTAGTTCAACATGCATCCATCTCAGAGTACCACAAAGTAGTTCCTCTGGTCCCAAATCTTCAAAATCTGTTTATTTAAACTTCCTCTCCCTTTTCTGAATCTCTGGAAATCATTTATTGATTTTTTTTTTGAGACAGAGTTTCTTTGCATAGCCGTGGCTGTCCTGGAACTCACTCTGTAGATCAGGCTGTCCTCAAACTCTGAGATCCACCTGCCTTTGCCCCCTGAGGGCTGGGATTAAAGTTTTGTGAAACCACTGCCCAGCTCACTTATCTTTTTTACTGTCTGCAAGCTTTTGTCTTTTTAAAATGTTATGTATTAAAAGTTTTTCAGCTTTGCTTCTGCAATGAATATGTGTTTAAGTTTCCTCAATGCCTTTTCATGGAGAGTTCATTGCATTTTGATATTGAATAAGATTTATGTCTTGTGATTGCATCAGACTTTCTCAGTTTCACTTACTGAAGGATCTTGATCGCTGAAAAGTTTGGCAAGTGATTTAAAAGATTGCAATAAATACTGCACTCCAGTTTTTATGTAGTCTTAAAATTTAGGCTAATTTGATAAATACATAAAAAATATGCTTGGCAATTCCAGAGAACCTAGACAACAATGAGGACCCTAAGAGAGACTTACATAGATCTAATCTACATGGGAAGTAGAAATAGACAAGACCTTCTGAGTAAATTGGGAACATGGGGATCATGGGAGAGGTTGAAGGGGAGAGGAGAGGAAGGGAGGGGAGCAGAGAAAAATACATAACTCAAAAAAAAAAACAATTTAAAAATTAAAATAAAAATGTGCTTGGTTTTGCAAGAAGTTGCAAAACTAACTTCTAAAATAGCTGTACTGTTTTCATTCCCACAGTCCATGAATAAGGGTCCTTTGTGCTTCTTGTCACTTCAGCTGGTGGTGGTGTCTGGCTTGGAGTCTGGCTGCTCTGTATTATGGCTGTGCAGTTATCTCTTTTTTACTTGAACTTACTTGCATTTGCCTAATGTTATTGATATGGAGTCTCTTCCCATGTGCTTACTTGCTAACTCTGAGTCTTTTTTAGTACGTATTAGGATCTTTGGCACATTTTTACGCGATATTGTTTTCTCAGTGTTGAGTCTCGTACGTCTTTATGTGTTCTGGATAGCTCTCTTTAATCAAACACATCCACTGGCAGCAATTTTTCCTGGTCTGTTATTTTTTTTTGTTTGTTTTGTTTTGTTTCATTTTCAAATTTTCTTTGTAGAATCTTTTGAAGAGCAGAAATTTTAATTTGAATTAAATCTGTATCAGCAGTTATTTCTTCTGTGTATTACACTATTGTTGGAGTATACTCAGCGTTATTTTGGATTAAGATTGCTTTATTTTTTCTCTTTGTATATAAATACAAAATATATATTCACCCCATCGAATTCACAAAGAAATGTTGAAGCTTTTGCTTAAGATTTTATGTTAAAGGAAGTTGTTAGTTTGTTCTTGGCTGCCTAGACCATGAAATAATCACTCAGATACTATATAATTTGCAATACTGTTTGGCCAATAGCTTATGCATATTGCTAGCTAGCTCTTATATCATAAACTAACCCATCTCCATTAATATGTGCATCACCACAAGGTCGTGGCCTACCAGCAAAGTTTTAGTGGGCACCAGCGGAGGCATCTGTCTCCTCCAGCAGCTACATGGCTTCTCATAAATCCCTCCTACTCCATCTGTCTGCATCTCTGTTTGGATTTTCCTCCTGGATTTACTCTGTTTAGCCATTGGCCAAAAGCAGCTTCTTTATTAACCAATGGCAATAAAACATAATCACAGCATGCAGAGGGGAATCCCATATCAATTTTACAACTTCTATTGATTGTTTTAAAGGTAAACAAAATTTCATTCATAGATTCTTTCCAATAGACTATTATGCATTCCTCAATTGACTTAGATCTGTATACTTTTCTCAATAATGCTTGATCTTCCTGCTTTACAACTCCCAATTAGATTTGTTTCTAAGGGTTTCTATATTTGAAAGTCATTTTAAATGCTTTTAAATTTTTTCACTTTTTCTTCATTTAAACAGAACTCATGCATGTTGTTGACTTTGCATCTACTAGCATTTCTGACTCCACTGATGACTTTTGAGTGCAGTGTCTTCGTGGCTTCTATATATATGATTTCATCATTTAAAATATAATTTTATTCCTTCTGTTGTGGCTTTTACATCTTCTTTGTGTTATTCATCTAGATGAGACTGGTTGTACAATCTTGGTACTAGACAGGGTCGGCATCCTCGTCTCATTGTTGATTATCCTCATAAATTAGCCAATAATTTACCTTCAGTGATATTTACTATATATTTATTTGTTTAGTTCTTCTGAAATAGGTTCCTTCTGTGCAGCCTGCACTGTTCTGAACTGCCTACATAGGCCAGGTTGATCTCAAACTCACAGACATCCACCTGCTTCTGCCTACTGAAATTAAAGGCATATGCCACCACATCTAACACTGTATACTTTTGAGCATACTTAAAATTTCTTTCCAAATTCATTTGTTAACATTTTATCCATTTGATTGTGATGGTTTTTGTTCAGAAAGTTTTTCTGTACCCATTCAGATTAATCATTCTGTTTTTCTCCTCTATCTATTGCAGTGGTATATTATAGTGGTTAAATTTCAAATAATGAACTTGTGTTAGAAATAGTAATTCATTATTTTTTCTCTTGCATATATCTGGTTTGATTGCCTTTAAAAAAAGAAAAATGATTTGTTGTGTCATTTCTTTCTTGCAGTGTCCTTTTGAAGTCTGGATGTCTAACCCATTCAGAGATGCTGGTACCCAGCTGAGTTGTGCTTTGTTGACTACTTCTACAAGTTTATATGTTTGTGTTAGTTCTCATATGCCTGCTTGTAATAATTCAGTACGTGTAATAGATTTATATACTACCTTTATCTAAGACTTGATTGATCAGATTTTATATTTTCTTCAGTTTTGAATTTCAAATAGCATTCTACATTAATTATCAAATGCACCAATATTTTCCTTATAACTTTTGACATCCAAAGATTAATTAAAACAAAAATAAATGCATTGTGTATGGAAAAACATGATAACTGATCAAAGAGACCACGGCCCACTAGTTCAGATGATTTCATCACCTGAATACATTCAAGTTTTATTTTTTACCAAATATCTTGCACACGTTAACCATGCACACAATTCTTATATAATGTGTTTCTTCACTCTAAACTTTCAGTGCAAGTGACATAGAAATCGAGGAGTGAGAAAAATAAGAGATAACAAGAGGGAGAGCAGAGATGGCAGGGAGGAAAAGAAAGGTAACAGCAGCCATTGTATGAGAAAAAGAAGTGCTTTCTCGTGGATCTGATCTCCTTGCACTAAGACTTCTCAATGAAGAAGGGAGAGAGAGCCAAGGTTAACGATAGTAATTCCACATATTAAACCTATGATAGCCAGAAAGCAGATACAATACATGATGGTGTAATTTATCTGATAGAAGTTGTACATGTAGACTATGTAGGTGTGTGTGTGTATATATGACTTCTCCATCATGAAGATGTGGTCATCTCGATGCTTATATCTAAAGGAACCAAGGGAGGATTTAGAGATGCAGACTCAATCCCAAGGTAAATATGAAGATCACATGAGGTCTTTAGTTGTCACAAATAATGAAGCTAGAAATAAATTATCATTGGAACAAATTTATAAGCATAACTTTAAAATAATTCTACATATTTGCTGACTGACAGTCTTGGGTTAAGCTGAGGTGACACAGAGTCAGTGGGCTGGCACAGCAGGGAGAAATAAAGACGTAAAGTCAAGGGACATGGAGAATAGAATGAGAATCTCAAAAAATAAAGTTTCCAGAGAGATATAATAAAGAGAAGGGAGAAAAACACAAAACTCAAATAGAAAACTGTTTTTTTTTCTAAAAATAGACTTAAAATATCCTTAAGGAAAGCCTACTGAAATGGCAAAAATAAAGAAATATGTACCATAGTTGTGTGAACAGAAAGGTATTTCAAAGAAAATCTTAAAAGGCTCCCCTAAAATTATCATACAAAATATGATCATGAATTAATGATTAGAAGAAAAGGGAGTAAGACTATTAGATAATTGGTTTAGAAAACCAATTTTTTTGAGACAGGGTCTCACTACAGAGCCCTAGCTGGCCTGGTACTCACTCTGTAGAACATGCTGATCTCCAACTCAGTAATCCACCTGCCTCTGCCTCCTTACTGTTGAGATTGAAGGAGGGTGCCACCAAGATCCGCTCTCTTTTCATTTTAAGAGCTTTTTCTGATTTCTCTCATTTTTCTGCACATCTATGCCTCTGCCTCTGTATTATCTTAAGATACCACTGTTCTTGCTTTATAGAGCCAACACCTGGTCAATATTCACTTGTAACCTTTCCTGCTACTTTTTACCTCTTGACACAAGTCTGCAGTTCATTTGGGATGGTTTCCTTCTGCCTACTTACTCCATTAAAAGTGTTTCTCTCAGTGCCATGTGAGTCAATGATTTCTCTCAGTCTTTGCTGAGAAGTTTCAACTCTGAAGGCTCTGTGTGCTAGAGTTATACTCGGGAATACTTTCCCCCAGGAATTTAAAGACATTGTCTTTGATTTTCTGACTAATGCTCACAAGTCAGTTCTTGGCTTTACTGATGCTCCCTTAAAAGAAATACATCGCCTTCATATGGTTGATTTAATATTTTTCTTCTTCTGGATCTTGTGTTGAGCACCTTTCCTGTGAGATGCTCAAGTAGGCTCTGCTTCTTACAGACCGTGATGAGGTTGCCCTGGATACCCTGAACAGTCAAAGACTCTCACCAGTGGTAGGAACTCCCAGTCATTGTCTCTTCAGACATTGGTTAGCCCTTCCTTACACCTCAAAGCTCCTCTCTTACTTCCTCCTCCCCACCAAACCCTTTTTCCTAATGGGCTCACTGACTTTCAGGGTTATTTATTTCTTTTTAGTTGAATGACAACTAAATTCTACGTTTCAAGAAGAACTTAAACTGCCATAATTTGCCTTTTTCATTGTTGTGTGGCTTTGGTGGCGAAGGAATTTGGGCAAAACTACAACTGCTTCACTTCACATAGACTGATAGTTAAGACTTAGAAATAGACGGTAAGATATTAAAAAAGCTTCTCAATTGCTCATTTTCTGCCAAAAGTTCAAAGAGTTTTGACATAGTCTTATCTACAGACATGTAATGAGTTAGAAGCCAAGCACGCATTTCACCAGGCTTACTGAACACAGCAGAAAGCTGTAATTACAAATCAACGAGTATGCTACTGCTACACTTTATTAACAAGTGAAATGCTATTCATTATTATTAGTCAGTTTCACCCAAAGTACCTGAAGGGTACACTAAACAATGAAACAAAATGATTTAACATCAAAAATAATATTTGCTGATTGATAAACTCTACCCAAGGCACCAGCTAACACAAAGTGACAAAGCTGAAAACTTCTAATAAACAGAATCAACCAGAATAGCCAAATTTCAAAATAAATTTCCTCATTTGAAAGGTGAGAGAAGCGTTCAGAAAAGTCACACTAATTAAAACATAGACTTATTTGTATGAGAAAGAAAAAGGTAAACATGATGCCCTCAACAGCCCTACAATTTCCTTTTTCAGAAAGATAGAATTCTGAGATTAATTATCAAAATTACCAAAGATAAATTTATTAATATAGCAAAGCAGTGACTTAACAGTTTTATTTTTAAATGGGGTGAGAAATTATACATTTTCTCTTTAATTTTTGTCAAATAAGAATTCAAACATTAATGGTATCATTTCCAGAACACTTGCAGTCAAATAGACAGGACCACTAGCATGCATGGTGCTCATATACTTTCCATTACGATTTGCTTATTCAGGGCATGTAGCCTGATAGTGAACACGACATAATGTGGCTTTCCATTCAGGTAGAAAGATCCAGACAACATAAGTAATTTTAAGCAATCTACCTTTGAAAAGACAAAAATAGACGGAAAGGGCAGGTGCCACAAATCCAAGTTTTTTTTTTTGAGAGAGAGAGCAATAAAACGTCTCAGAAGATCATTAAGAGTATCACTCAAAGAAAATTTTATACTATTTGGGTTATTTAGGGCTATGGGAGTATTAATTACCAATAGATATTTATATGCAGAGAGAAAAATATGCTTAGTACAACTAAAAGCCTAGTACTTTCACACCAACAAAAAAGAAACTATCAGCGCAATGAAGGATATATGTACTTTAGTAGAGAACTTTGTAGAAACAAGATCATTTCTTAAAAGAAAGCAATGGTACAACACTTAGGAATTTACATCACTTAGTTCAGTGGTTCTCAACCTTCCTAGGACCCTTTAATACATTTCTTTGTGATATGGGGACCTGGGAGGATAAAATTATTTTGTTACTAATTCATAACTGTAATATGTTTCTGTTATGACTCATAATGTAAATATCTGATATGCAGAATATCTGATGTGTAACCCCTGTGAGAGGGTAATTCGACTCCCCAAAGGGTCCGTCCCCCCCAATCCACAGGTTGAGAACCAATGACTTAGCTAAAAACAAAGCTCTCCCTGCCATGGAGATTTTCCTTAAGTTCTCTCCCAGAATCTTGAACCAAAAGTTCAGGGATCATGGGATTGAGAAATCTGAACTCACCAGTCCCAGAATCCCCAGTCAGACACACCTCATACTGGTAGCTCTGGGACAAGGTTCCTGCTCCACTGACATCCACCAGGTGTCCAGGAAAGTGTCTCTCGGGAGCAGAGCAACCAGCCAGAGAGGCTGCCTGAGCTCTCCTGCACAGTCTCACGCCCACAAACAGCAGCACAGACAAGAGAAAGAGCGAAGACACAGAAGCCAAGGCGATGACCAGATACAACGTGAGCAAGTCCTCATTGTCGTGCGCGGGGTCGCGCGCCACCTCCGGTAGTGGCAAGTAGGGTTGAGAGAAGCCATCCACCAGCAGCACATGCAGAGTGACACTGGCAGACCGCGGGGGATCGCCATTATCTTTGACCAGCAGCAGCAGCCTGTGCTTGGGCGCATCGCGCTCACTCAGCAGCCTGGAGGTGCGCACCTCGCCATTGTGAGCCCACACGCTGAACAGCCCTGGCTCCGTGGCCTTGAGCAGCTGGAATGACAGCCAGGCATTCTGGCCAGAGTCGCGGTCCACTGCCACCACCTTGGTGACCAGGTAGCCAGGCTCTGCCGCCCTGGGCAGCAGCTCTGTGAAGGGCGCAGAGGCGTTCTGCAGCGGGTAGAGCACGAAGGGCGAATTGTCGTTGGCGTCCAGCACCTGCACGCGCACCAGCGCCTGGCTACTGAGCGCGGGCGAGCCTTGGTCTGTGGCGCCCACGCGGAACTCGAAGCTCTGCAGAGCCTCATAGTCCAGCGCCCTGAGAGCGAACAGCTGACCATTTTCGGCATTTATGGAGACCAGCGAAGTGATGGGCAGATGCAAGTCTTGAGTGGGCAGCAGCGAGTAGGTGATGTGGGCATTGGAGCCTGAGTCTGAATCTGTGGCGCTGATGGTGCCTATGTGCAGGGCGGGGCTGTTGTTCTCATGGACAAACAGGGTATAGGAGCTTTGTGTGAAGGCAGGGGCGTTGTCGTTGACGTCAGACACCTGCACTGTTATGATGTGCTGGGTTGTGAGCCTGGGTGTGCCCATGTCGCTGACTGTGATGGTGATGTTGTACTCAGCTCTGCTCTCTCTGTCCAGAGGACTCTCTGTCACCAGGGTGTAGAAATTCTTGAAAGTGGATTTTAGGATGAATGGCAGGGTTTCTGGAATAGAACAAACCACCTTTCCATTCTCTCCAGAATCCCTGTCTCCAACTCTGAAGATGCTGATTATGGTCTCAGGAGCATTTTCTGGGACTGAGCTGGTCAGTGAAGATATGGTCAGCTCTGGGGCGTTGTCGTTCACATCCACCACCTCTATCAGCACAGCGCCCTTCCCAGATAGTCCTCCTCCATCCGTGGCCTCGATTTCCACATGGTAAGACTTAATTTTTTCAAAGTCCAATCCCTTTTTCAGTCGTATTTCTCCCGTGATTTCGTTTATTGAGAAAGTCTGTTGAACTTCATCTGATGCTTGGAACAAGCCATAGGAAACTCTCCCAAAGTTGCCAGCATCTGCATCCTGTGCTAGGACAGTCAGGACCTCTGATTCTGGGGGGCTGCTCTCCATGACCTGCACCTCATAGGGGGTCTTCACAAATTCAGGGGCATTGTCATTGATGTCCAGGATCAGGATTCGAACCATGGCTGTTCCTGACCTAGGTGGAGAGCCCCCATCCAGAGCCGTGAGGGTCAAGCTCAGCTCTGCCTGCTCCTCTCTGTCCAGGGCTCTGTCCTGCACCAATTCTGGGTATTTCTTGCCTTCACTATTATTTCGAGTGAGGACATGAAAATGAGAGTTGGGGTTGACTGTGTACTGTTGAAGCCCATTGCTGCCCACATCCAAATCCTGGGCTAAATTCAATGGTAACAGAGTGCCTGGCTGGCTATTTTCTGGTATTTTCAAAAGCATTTCCCTATCTGGGAATTCTGGTGAGTGGTCATTTATGTCCTGGATCAGTAATTCTCCTTGAAAATACTGCACTGGCTTTTCCAGAGACACCTGGAAATGCAGGACACAGGGGTCCACAGAGGCACAGAGCTCTTCCCGGTCTAGCTTCTCCCTCAGAAGCAGATCTCCAGTCTCGGGATCCAGCAGTAATCGCTGCTTGTAATCATCTGACACCACCCGTGCAGACCGGGCTCTCAGGTCCCCAGATCTCAGACCCAGGTCCTTGGCCAGATGGGCTACAAAGGAGTCGCTTTCTGCTTCCTCCAAGATAAAGTATCGAGTTGTTGGCTCACTCCAAACCTGAACCCAAACCAGCATAAATATAAAAGCCATGACTTGCCTGTTTGGGTGAATTCTCTCCATCTTCTCCGTGTTGGGAAAGCGATTGTTTGCATCCAATCCTTTAGCAGTCTCCCAGTGCTTTAAAACGCTGGCTTCTGGTTTTTCTTTTCTTAAGAACGATCTTCACACGCTCTTCTCAATCTTACATTTATCCAGTATATCCTTGTCCAAGCCCCTTCATAGCTCCGTAGTGCTTTCAAAGCTCTGCCTGCGTCTTTTGTTCTATTTTCTCACAAGCGATTCCTGGTATTTTAGTGATTTTAAAGCCCAATCTTAGCCTGCAGCGCCACCCTGTGGCTTTTTTTGTGAAACTCTTACAACTCTATTTTCCAATTAACTACTATTTAAAGTTTCCAAACTAAAGTCGTTTTAAAGTGTATGCAGAGTTTTCTTCACCAGTGTTGTTACTGTTTGAAACTACGTAATTGGTACAATTATCCTATATTTTTCATGAGTGGGGTCATGAAAACAAAACTAGAAGACAGCTGGTCTTATCACACATTGACGATTTGAATAATCAGATAAGCAAAACAAGGACTCATTTTTGTAAAAGTATTTTTTCACAGTGATAAAATATCAAACTATTAAGGTTAATGTCAAGAGTTTTTATAATTCACTATAAGTTATTATGGAAGAAATTATCTTTTGGAATACTCCACTGCACAGATACAGATGAATCGAATTCATCAGCTAAGCATTTGACCGAAATAGTTACAAACCAAATAGTGTATGTGGTGAAAATAAACTAAAATTTTATATCGACTAACCTTCCAAGTCAAATTGCATTATATCAAAAATGTACATTTTTGATGCACTCTAGCCAATATCTAACAAATTACTGTGTCTCTATTTAAATAGAAAGTGTATGTACACATTTAGTGCATAAATCATTCAAACATTTTTATTTCAAACTTAAAATACCACATTAAAACCAGAAAGTTTGATTTCTTCAAATTTCTCCTTTTTTTCCCAATAGTGTTTTGGCTATTCAGGAGTTCTTGTATTTTCACATGAAAAGTTTAGAGACAATTTGGTAATGTCTAGGAGAATGGCAAACTGGCATTTTGGTAAGAATTCCATGAAGTCGTAAACTAGTTTGAGGATAATCTTCACAGCGGAGGGTCGTCAGTCCAGGTACACTTCTTACACGGGTCTTCAAGAATTTCCTTTATGTCTTCTAGGGTTCTGTATGAATTTCATTGACACACCTGCCTGCTTCTTTTCTAAGCATCTTGGTCCTTTTGAGTCCAAGGGACTTTTATTTTCATTTCGTCCAGTGGTAGCATACAGAGACAGCTACTTTTAGGGTAATGATCTTTTAGTCTACAGACTTGCAGGACTTGTTCATTAATGTCCATGTGCTTGCAGATTACTTAAGATTCCTTAAAAGTCACACCAAGGATAGTTCTGTGTTTTCTCTTTCTAATTAAAAGATTTTCTAAAATGCCTTCCTGCGTTTATTAAGATGATTGTGTGGCTTTGCCATTCATTTGGCCCTTAAGTGATCTTTCAGTATTAATATTTATATGTTGAACCATTTTTCCCACATAAATTCTTTGTTATCCATGATCTCATCTGTTAATTGGTATTGGTTTGCCAACGTCGTTTTCTTTTCTTTTTCTCTTTTTACTTTTTTGTTTGTATGTTTTGGAGACAAAGTTTTTCTGTGTATCTTTGGAGATGGCCATGTCGCTCAGTATGTAGACCAGGCTGGCCTCAAACTCACAGAGATCCGCCTGCCTCTGCCTCCCAAGTGCTGGGATAAAAGGCATGTACTGCCGCTACCCGGCTCTGCCAGTATTTTCTTGAGAATTTTCACATCAACATCGACAAAGCAAATGGATATGTAGTTTTCTTTCCTTTCATTATATTTACCAGTTTGTCACAATTTACTGTTGCAGAATGAGTTAAGGAGTTGCTGCTGTGATCTTTGTAATGAGAGCAGTAATGTTAGACATATGCTTTGTCAGGAGGGAAGTGTTGGGGTACCAAGTTAATTTCACTTTCTCACTAGAGGCTAAATATGGCAACTGCCACATGTTCATTCAGAACAGGACTTTTGGATTGTTTGTTAAGGTTTCTGTCCGTCATCAAATTTCTACATCTATTTCCGATATCAATGCTGTAAGCATTTCCATGTGCGTAGTTTTGTTTTTGTTGTTTTGAGACAGGGACTCTCTGTGTAGTCTTGGTTGTTCTGGAACTCATTGTGTAAATCAGGCTGGCCTCAAACTCACAGAGGTCTCCCTGATTCTGTCTACAAAGTGCTGGGGATTGAAGGTGTGCACCGCAATGCCAGGCTCTCCACTTGGTTTTCACTCATCAATTGCTGTATAAAGGTATTCTCATAGAGTCTCAGGTCTAGTGTCTTAACAGATACCATAACAGCAAAGAAGAAGGGGATAGTCTCTAAGATACTGGCTTCTTACGGCGAATGGGGAAGTGTAAGCCCCAAGGCTGTTTGGGGCCTAACTCACCTGTGTTACAAAGGTGAGTCAACCTTGACTTTCCTGAAACCTGTGTGCAAACTACCACGAAACCTCCTCTCTCTCTCTCTCTCTCTCTCTCTCTCTCTCTCTCTCTCTCTCTCTCTCCCCCCCCCCCCCCCCCCCCC